GATGGCTCAATTCTGTCTTCAGATTCGGATTCAGCGTTACGACATACACAGAGAAACATGTGTCAAGTCTTTGGGACTGAGACGATGCCGTGCTGGTGGGAGTTACCTGGGGGAGGAAATCAGCGTATTGTTCTAAATTTCCAGCAGAGAACCCCTTCATTTCCTGGGATAAACATACAACTAACGGGCTCAGTAGAAAACGCACCTGTACCAGGAATCCACGACCATAAACAAATTCGGTTGTCGTGGCACAATTATGAAACGCTATCGCGGACGAGGAGACGTACCTGCTGCTCCCTCGTTCGGCACCGGCCGTGACCCTCAGGCGGAGTCTTGGCGCTCCACACAAAACTGAAATTCACCTCCAGTAGCGGCGCGAACGCGAACATGACTGCGCGAGAAACTCGAATCGCCGACGAAGTTTCCGCCCGGGGCGATGGTTTCTCAAGGAAAACGAGCGGCGGCGCTGCGGCCAAGAAAACATCCCGCGCGGAGTAGTGCGCGATTCTCAATCAGCGCAACAAGGCTCTTTCACGAGTTGTTTATCGCAGGAGCTCGGGATGAATCACGTGGCGTCGGGGCTTTTCTCAGGTGTCGCCCGCTGAGATGTTCTACGAAACGACGGCAAAAAGGTGAATTGACATCTTCTAGAAGTAAATAAGGAAGTTTGCAATGATATTAATTAGAAATAGTGGAATGCGCTTGTGAAGAGGCGTGTGTTGTCACGAGCGCGAAGCAAACACCAAATGAAATGTTTCATGTTTTTCACACAAAAATTGTTTTTTATATTAAAACGATAGATTAAATTAGGAAAAATTACCAGATACTGGAACGGAATGGCGTATGTTAAATCATATAATAAAAGGGATGATGAGCAAAACCAACTAATTTTTACAACAATATTTAAGCATGTTTATGTTATCCCAACAAATAAAAGCCTCGATAAACACAGTATGCCTCGATACGAGCTCAAATTCAGCTTACGAAAATATTTGACTCAACAAAACTGAAATAAATCCCAAACACTAAAAGTTAATTGGCAAAAATGCAAAATTGGCATAATCTGTTAACATAAAATAATGTTAATTGTTTAGTAAAAATGCAAACCATTCGAATTATTTATTTTCCATTTTTATACAATGTTATAAACACAACTTATTAACTATTAATTAATATTATAAAACACAACTTAGTATTATTTTTAAACGTTAACTGACTTCCGTTTTTCTCTTCAATATATAATTTCTTTATTTATATTTCATAAATGTTGAGTTATTCTCTCTCTGGTTCCCTTGTCTTCACTTTCCCAAATTTCTTACTCCAAAACGGCCCCAACCCATTGCTAATTTCGTTGTTCCTTCTTGTCACCCTTCTTAGGTGTACATGGCACGTTAACAGCTTTTCTAAAATAAAATTTAAAGTTTAACTCCAAACGAGTCTTCATCACCGTTTGGTGTCCATTTCCGTATCTCATAACTTGGATTCTGAATTTAAATTTAATATTCAAATGTCTGCTCCATATATCATAATATTTCAAAGTAGTACACTTTTAAAAAAAATATTGTTTTGAAATTGTTTGAAATATATTTATTACAGATATTTATAGTTGAAATTTCTCATTATCCCAAATTTATCTTCGATGTAATTCCACTTCATTCTTTGTCTTTATTTGTAATTTTTTGATCTCAATATTACATTTTTGTCTGTTCCCATTCCTTCTGGTAGTAACAGATCTCTAGTTATTTCTATTTCAATATAATTGGTCGCACATTGTAAGTGAATTTGCTATTCTTCATCTGATTAAAATTACAAATTACATTATTGAATTTAATCATTCATGTATCCTTCTACTTGTATCAGAAGCATCAAACACGAGATGTTGCTAGTACCTGTATAGTAAATATATTGCAAATTATTTCCATTCCTTTAAAAAGAACGATTTTATTTCCTTTTAGGTTTCTTTTTCTTTTAAAATACAATCAATGGCACTTCATCATCAACAAAAGATAAGAATTTCATCTCAAACGTGCAAACAAGGTTCTAATTAAACGCCAATAAAAACGTCCTGCCGATAGCAATTATTATTAATATTGCCAGAGCAATTGAATTGAATTTGCCTTATTTTACGTGGCGAGACTCGGGCCATCAGGCCCACATTTCGCTACGCTCCTTTCACCAACTAGGAGAGAAAGGAGGTATTTCTTGGGCGAGAAACAGGCGATTTGAATTTAGCTCAGAGGCGTCATTTAGGCTTGAGGATCTTTTACATGCAAGTAAATCTACGAGCATGGGACAGCCGGCTTTACATCCCCTCCGAAGGAAGGCGTACGAAGGATTTTTTCGCCCTTAAAAATCGCTTCGATCGGGTTTGAACCCGCCAACTTGGATAAAACAGTCCAGTATGCTAACCGTTACACCATCGTCGCCTCCAATTCCATAACTTTATTCCAAAGCCACCGTTCTCATAAAGCATTTCACGCGAGCTTTCTCAGCAAGCCGCCCTCCAGTACGCCTGTGAGTGGCCAACGAAGAGCAAGGGTCACGCGTGACTGCCACGCCGGGCGAAGCGGGAATTTCACTCGGCCTGCTGCGCCGGCTAATAACGCCAGTGCCAGCTTTTCATCGGCGGCGTCACGGCGGGCGGCCGGGCTCAGCGTTCGGCCCCCGGAATGCGCATCACACCAGCACCCGGGCGCAGATACACGCATTGAAATCGGGGGCTATTTATACCGCGGCGCGGCGCGGCGCAGGCCGGGCCATAAAGCCGGAGGCCGCGCCAGGCGCCGCGACAGCGGTCGCCACTGCGCGGACCGGCGAGCGTGTGGGAACGGGCGGGGGCGGTGGGAGTGGGGGACGGCGGGGGCGGTGGGGACGGCGGGGGCATTGGAGGCGGTGGGGGCGGCGGGCGCGGTGGGGCGGTGCGCGGGCGGCGGCGCGTGGGGCCGGGGGCGGTGGGGCGCGCGGGGCGGTTGGGGCGGGCGCGGCGGGGGGCGGCGTGGGCGGTTGGGGGCGGTGGGGCGGCGGGGCGCGTTGGGGGCAGCGGGGGCGGTGGGGGCGGCGGGGGCGGTTGGGGGCGGCGGGGGCGGTAAGGGCGGCTGGGACGGTGGGGCGGCGGGGGCGGTAGGGGCGGCGGAATTTGTGGGGGGCGGCGGCGACCGCGGGTGCGCGTTTTCATGCGAACAGTGCTGCCCAACTACGGTGGCGCCTCGGTTCTTCTATTGATTTATTAGTAATTCCGCGAGCGCGGCAACTTCTAAGAATATTTGACCCGTAAGTGTAGTAGTGCATGTTGGTGGTGGCTGTAGGAATGCTGGTTGTAGCAGTATCGTGTGAAGTGTCTGTGATCTACTCCTGCTGGCTGGCGAGATCCTGGTGAAGACCTACACGTCCGCTTGTAGGGGGTTTTCCCTGACACGGTGTCTCTCACCAGCGTGCCACCGCCCCAGCCCGGACAAGATCTAAGATCTATGTTCCCGGCCGGTCTCCCAACATGTGTGGTAGCGCAGTGCATGATAGTGTAAGTGTGTGTAAGTAAAATGTGAGAATAGGGCAAGGAAGAGGAAAGAAAGATAGAGGCCTGCCCTTGGCCGTTTGTTGGTGTAGTGTTCGGGCATTCGCCTGGAGTTCTTCGCAAAATCATGGAAAACTATCGATCTGAGCAGTGGGCCTCTAGAATTCTTCTCCAGACAACAGTTGAATTCAACCTAGTTATGTAGCTAGTATCGAAAATCCTGTCACCGTCGGTCCCGAACCCTACCTCATCGCGGTCAGAAGCACCTAGTGACATCGACTGATGCCCTGAGCCACATAAGCTGGTCGTATGGCTTCGACAGGTGGCGGTGAACAAGAACGTGTTGAGGTGGTCCAGGTGTCTCGTCAACAAACCCATCCCATCACGCGACTGGGGGTACTCGGAAGCAGGCAACAGGACCGGCTGCGCTGTGGTACCAATTGTGGAAATTCATTGCTTCTTCAGTTCAAACGCAAAATCTTAACCCAGTGACCCACTGTATTGTTCTTATGATGTCTAGATAAATTGTCATTGGTATATTAGATCCAAATACAAGCAATAGCACAATAACTTCAGCATTAATTTCGAATGCGCGCAGAAATTGAAAGAATACAACGCTCTGGACATGTGAGAGTTTCTATTGTTTCCTTAATATTGATCGCGCAACTTTTCTTGAACGATGACTTTGCTCTCGCCTCTATGACACAATAAATAGTTGAAGGCAAAAGCTCGCAGCGAGCACTGATGATAACATTCCAAATACATATTCATTGCACGAAATAGAAACTATTTTCTGTTGAAGGCGAGATCTTCTGTCTGTGAAAATCTAATGCAATGACCGAAGCAGGTGAAGATCCGGCGGACTCCTTAGAAAGTTCGAACGCAAGTTATTGTGAAAGTTGCGAAGGCATCACTGATTCTCCAGAGATTGGCATTGCTTCATAAAATCTAGAGGCCAATTTCGTAACTAACCACTCTATCCGCATTTCTTCAATCCATTGTTCAAGAAAAGTTTCCCGAGTAATACCACTATTGTTTCTGAGACCCGATCCTATGGCCAAAATGAAATTTTTCAACTTTTATTAATGAATACTCTATGCACCATAATATGAAGTAAACCCTTCAAAGATCACTGTTTTGCATCCACTTTGTTGACTCTTGGCTCCCCTGTCACGAAGCACGCTTCTGAAGTCGGTACTTCCCCGTTCGGTCTCCGCGCTGAAGTGGGAGTCATCAAGCCAAGGTTATATTGAAAAGTGGCCTTGTTTGCATGTAAATACTTTTCTCATATTTCAATGAATTTTTCATTGCAATTAGTTTCAATGCGTATTTTATTTCAGAGCTCGTAAAAATTACTACAATATCCATTACCGTGAATTTTGGTTCTTTTACCAATGACCTTGAAATTTGAACTCACTTTTGAAAAATTGACGGGGTTTCACGGGGTTGAGACACGACCTATTCTTTCAATAGGTTATTACAAATCATATTACAAATTCCAGCTGCAAAAATGTGCAACTATTAACAAATTATTGTTTTTTTCTTTAGATATGCACTGCTTCAGAAATGAACGACTATTGAACACTACAACGTCGTATTGTGATAGAAATGATCAGATCACGCTAATCTAAGATTATCTTACTGATAATGTAAGAAATAAAGTATTTATTAAAAGAAGAAAAAAGTACAAAATTAGCTGTTTCTGCCAAATTTTGAAGAAAGATATCATAAAGATAAACTACAACATTCTGTTAATTTTTTTTCTTGACTCGGGGCTACCTTCTTCATCAAGATAGAACCAATTCTGTCATTAACGTCGACTGGTCAGGATCATCTTCAGTTTCGCGAAAAATGACTCAAGACAAAGAGGCGAGAAGCTTCGTAGTGGTCACACCAACTGCAGCTTATGCTTTACTTGTATAAACAGCGTGTATTGCAGCACATCATGAAAGATAGTATCTCATCGAAAAAACCGTAATTTTAAAAGAACGTAGACTATAAACAGAACAACAAAAGTGAGCAGATTGCTTTTTCAAGAGAAACGTGTATTTTCCGCACCTAAAAAAGCGCTGGATCTTATTTTAGAAAAACAATTAAGTAATCAACAATATTCCATTAGCAGAATAACTTACCATGGGCAATTTAATGAAGCAACTTTATTTGAAAACATGTAGTATGTAACCCAACCACAAGATGATTTGAAATTGTAAATCCAAGTGTAGACCATTTACTCTACATATAGATCGTAATTACAAACCATCCGATTAGATTTCAATTTAGAATTATTGGGTCAAAAAAACAGTAAAAACTGTATGTGACGAGAAACTGTATGAATTTTGTTACCTGAACATCAGCTAATTGCATATTATTCATTTTCAATGGAGCTTGCGATTGCGAATGCAAAAATGCATTGAAACTGTTTTTCACATTTACTATTAATTTTTTATTACAAAACCAATTTGAAACTTGTAAAATCGTACTATTTACTGTGTCTTTTTTGCAAAGAACATTCGTGTCATCGGACAGTTACGGATCTTTCTTTACAAAATATTGTGAAACACACACGATTCTTGTAAACACACTAATAGTGTGTTTACACGATATCATTGAGCATATAGACTGCATATGTATACTAAATGGTATCTATATCAATGCGGAAATGACATGTAGTAATGGTTTTGAAGGCTCTTTTAGCTTATCAATGTATCAGCAAAACTTTGATACCTACTCCTGGCTATCATTTTTCATGCTTCGATTGCATTATGTCATTTGAAAGCTTTGGATTACGTAGGTTAATTTGGAGAAAAGAAATCCAAAGCAACAAATAAAAATACAAATATACTCGATAGCATCGGGCAAGAAAATGCGGAAGACAATAATTTGGAAGAAATTTTCAATACAGAAATCGACACTTCAGATCCAGTGATTTCCAACCTAAATTTAGAAAAAGGTAGGCGACTCCAAAATAAACGAAAAAATTATTTTGATAGCTATGCTGACAAAGGACAAAGAAGACGCGGAAGTCCAAAGAGGAAGAAAAAGAAGAAGAAGAAGAAGAAGAAGAAGAAGAAGAAGAAAAGAAGACGAAAAATGCAAAGATGTACAAGATGATTGAAAAAATTGTGAAAGTATTTTGAATAATAAACTGTTATTGTTCATAATGCAAATAAATAGTTTGCATTTCTCTACATTATTCACCCAACAAATTTGGTTAAGGGCATACCTGTATCGGGTTCAGAGGTTTCTTTCTTAGAAGAGATGACATCTTGTGAAACCGGTAATCAGAATGGCAGAACAGTAGAGTCAATTTACTTTATTTGCCATTTATTAGAAGCCACCAGGTGATGCATCCAGCGAGACTTCTTACAGTTTAAACGATCCTCACAGCGTCTTAGTAATTAGGAAGTAAGCGTAAAGTTACGACCTATAAAAGAATGTACACGTATTGTGCAAGAGGCGAGGAAAAGTACTCTTTGTGCGGAAAACGCTCGTTTTTCGGAACAATCCCCTTATCTGCGAGCGAATTATTTATAAGCAGATCCCCTGTAAGGACTCTTAGTAAAATGTTCGGCGTACAGTGCGTTAGCTTAATGACCAAGAACCTTTTCACAACGAAACTTAAATGCCGGGCAACGAAAAAAAACTTTCCAAACGTATTATTTCAAGGGCGAAGATCGGGAGTCATAAAACATGACTACAAAAAGTATTGTGTACAGTATGATGTAAGCTCCATTTACAAGGGATGTTATGACTTCATTTGTCCTGGTGTTTGTTGGGAGAACGTTTGTGAAATCGCTTGATACGATTAGTATGCTAACAATCAAAGAGCCAACTTAAACATAACATCAGAAATGATATAACCTATAATATTAAACGAACCATTTTTTGGACACGAATGTGATATAAATAGTTCTTTTGAAAGATTGAAATTATTAATTCACAAATGGAACATTTTTCCTGATATCTGACTCACACATTAAATACTATGCTTAATATTTTAATAAAAAATATAACATATTGTATTCATTTCATAACGCTTATTTATTTGTTATGATTAATTTATTGCCTGAATACAAACACACATTAACATTAATTATAACTTAACAGAATAATCGAAATGACTTGAAGTCACACTGCTCTTGTTTAAACTCCCCTACTGAAACCATATAGAATTTATATTTTACGAGAATATTAGAGGTGATATCTGACATAATTTTAAAGGCGATAACTGGCTACAGACGACAACTATGTTCCCTTATGCTTTTGTATTCTCAATACAACCCAGCATCGAGAAGAGTAGTTTGTGCTAAACGTTAAAAAGCCACATGATTTCGATGTTAAAACAGAAAAAACCGTACCTAAACGGTATTATTAATCCTTCCATTTTTCTCTATATTTATATTACATTTATATTAGGTTTGTTTTAAAATGTACATCTATAGTGCGCACTTACTGTTGTGGAAAAATCTCTAGAGCAGTTGTTGATAGATCACTATGATTCGTGCAATCGAGTGTTTGTGAGAATTCTAACCACAATAATGCTTCTATGAATAGTTTCATTGTTGTTAATTCTGATGTTTTCGTCGATGCTCCTGCTGCTCGAGTTCAAACTGGAATGACAAATCTTTCGAAACGAAGTAACAATCTTTTCTGCTTTTGTGTATGCATTTTTGTATGATTTTTTTCTTTGGATTAGTAAATATTAGAAGTGTTAAATATTTATTTCCCTGGTATTAGACTGAATTCAGTAGAAACTGAATAAATACAGACGGTTACGTGGGTGTGATTCAAAGACAGTTTTGTTTTCGTAATAAATTGTTGAATGTGAAAGTACATGGTGGAAAAATTGCTTTAAAACATTTCTAATAGCATAGCGAAATTTTTATATCGTTGTGTTGAAAGATTTATACCACATACTAGAAAGTTCGAAAAAACATTACGTTTCTGGAACCCATATAAAAAGTTTGCAGCTACCATTATCTCTCACATACAGTGCAGCAGACCAATATTAGATACTAAAGCATACATCTAAATTGCACTTCCGGCATTCGTTTGAGTTGTAAGCATTCATTTGAGCATTCTGGGGGAGCGCCAGCCGGCACTGGTTATATGTCGTTTAATGTAACATTTGATGTCTGCACTTGACATCCCTTTTGTAATGTTGATTAGTCGCACTGGTACTCGAGACAGCATTGCATTGGTTGACACGCCCACTCGCATTTTAAATTGAATGCTAAACGACTGATGAAGCTGTCACGAATACAGCCACTTGAACTAAATCCAATTTAAATGATACAAGGGCACACAAATACAAATTTCAATGGACTACACATTTGAAATCATTATTAATGTTCCAACTCATTATCAAGTCACAATGCCTCTAACAAAATAATGTACAAAATGAGATTCATAAAAAAACGCAAGGAATTTCAAGACGTAAATAACATTTTAATCACTTGTAACTAAAAGAAAACAAATTTTATTTTTTTAAATTAATTGAAACTGAAATATTTTCATCAATTTGTACATCCAATACTTACAATACAATACAATACAATACAATATTTAAACTAGCACTCTAATAGATGTTCACATTTAAATTCGATAAGAGGAAAAACCAACAAATGTCTATTCTCATTCATTCCATAACGTCCCTTGGCGTTAAAAAAGGCGTTAAAGAATAATCTCACTTTTACAAGAAACTTCCTTAGTGCCTCTCTACTCAATAAGAAGTTTCCGGGAGCAACTTGAAGCAATTCACGTTACCCGGGAAGGAAATGCCACCTCGTAACAGGAGATGACATTATCCTATCTCTTTAACTTTACAATCTGCGGCATTTGCCAGTCTAGCACTTTCACGAATATCTGCCCGCATCGCGAAATTTAATCCCGGGCGAGCGAACCTTATCTGCTGAGCCCGCGCGCAACACCTGCCCGTTTCTAAACCCGTCACGTAGCAGCAATGGAGAGTGACAGCTCGCCCATACCTGCGGCAGCCGAGGGAACTGATCAAATGTCCACCAAGCTGCAATGGCTTCGGAAACCGAATTCCCGGCCGCCGCATCCACGGGGTTAACATGCAGAAGCAATTTTCGAAATGGAGTTTGTGAATTTTTGGTGGTTAAAAATGGATATCAGATTTACGGGATTCATTGTCATTTGGTGGGCGAGATATGTGAAGCGGTGCTGTACGTTCATTTTTTGAAACTGTTTCGTCTGTCTGGTGAAATCTCTCAAACCGACTTCGATGAGGTTATCATTGAAACGTCAGGTACTGTCGGGTATACTTTTTAAGTGATTGAGTTTATAGAGAGGGGAAAATGCCATAGTCATTGCCGCCCAGAGTCTCTGATGGCTAAGCCGTCAGCGTACAAGAAAGTATATTCAGGATAAGCTGCTCTCAACTCATTGTCGTGTTTCAGATATGTTGTGAGCGCAGTTTATTTAGGGAAGTTGGACAACCTGAGGTCTATTAGAGGTCGGAGAAGTTTCCAAGATAGGG